AAGGTATTCCCAAAACGTAGGGGCTTTCAAAATAGATTTTCAGAATGGGTTTGGGTTCAACCTGAAAATTACTCGTCACAATTGGACTCAACTCAAACCCAACCAAATTCTAAAAATGGGTTAGAAATCCGAACCCAGACCCGACCTGCCCCAAACCTGTGTCGACACAACTCGACAAGCTAACCAGGGCACAAAACAGGTGGCTGAGCGCGGGTTTTGGGGCAAGAGGCCGAGCGCGGTCAGCTACTCCCCATCTCTAAACCTCAATATTGGGGTTGAAGCATTCTATCTCCAGCCCTAGCTTGAAATGTTGTACGTAGTGCTCTAGCATACAACATCGGGACACTATACGACTATGCAAACAAATAAAATTTAGATGAAGCCCCTGAACTCCCAAGCAGGAGGTGTGCTGCCCCCAACTATCCCCTCGTCAAGTTCAACTGATGCAATTGAGGTCCATACAAATAATATAACATAATTAATCGACACAATCGAATTTCACTCAAAATAACAAACGAACGAACCCATAATATTGGCAAAGATTCTAAAATAATATAGTAGGAATTATACATTATTTTCTTTAAATATACTTATTCATTTTTACCTTTCTATTTTTGTACATTATTTTTTATTATAATTTAAAGTGGTAAATTAAGGAGTTTCTATTTTCAACCTTTGCAAAATTTTGATTCAAGTTTCGCTATCAAATTTTTCTGTTAGTTGGGAGATTTCGCTATCAACTAAGTGGTCTTTATTTGAGTCCCATATGTTTGATGTATATATAAATTTGCCTTAATTTACTTTAATGTCCCCTAAAAAAAAATCGTTCATTGATCTCCAATGCTTTAGAAATAATTACTCTCCTTTCAAAATTGCACGTCTTCTTCCAGGAAATTAATGAATTGGAATTCAAAAAGATATAATGGATTGGAATTCCACAAAGAAAAAAAAGAAGCTGATTTCAGACTAGCTTTAGCTCGCACGTTTTTCTTCCACCCAAAATTGATGGAACCATTCTTGAAGTCTTTTTCGAAAAACAAATCAAAAGTCTCCGAGATCGTCTCCTCCATATTAGGGATGTCAGAGCTGCTTTGGGTCCAACTCGACACTAACCCGCTACTGTTTGACTCGACCCGTTTTCACAGACGTGTTAGAAATTTCAACTCAGACCCGAATAGTTAGGTTTGCGGGTAGACCTGACCAGATACAAAATCGCCCACGTGCACGGGCGGCATAACAAGTAGGAAGTTGAAAGAGATCAACGTAGAAGTTGCTTTGTAGACTTGAGGTGGCTTGCACGGACGAGACGTTGATGATAAGATCGTGGCCGCTAATAGGAGGCGAGAAGCCGCAACGGGATTTCCTCAAAGAAATCTTGTACCTCGTGAAGCTTGCCAGCGGCACACCATACGTCGATGAGGATGGAGAAGGTGCTGCGGTCAAGGGAAAAGGAGAAGAATTAGCACACGCGGTTGAATATATTGACGGCGAGAATGGGAAAAGAGGCATTCGTGAAGGAGGTGATTATGGAGGCGAAGGTGGATAAGGAAAGGGGGAGGGAGAGGAATCGCATGCCGGCATAAATGCGCCAAAGATGGGGCAGGATGCAGTGACAACCAAGAGTGAGGAGGAGAGCGTCGAACTCGGGAGAGGACAGAGGGTAGAGGCGGTCTAGCGAGTTTGCGAGCAAAATCGGGTCCAAACCAAGTTAAAGCCGGGTTGACCCGAACCCAACCTAAAATTCAAAACATGTCGAAAATCAAGACTTGAATGTGAATGAGCTAAGGGGCTTTCTTATTTATAGATGGAAGAATCATTTCCCGTGAGGCCTAACAAAGCAAAATTCAGCCATATAAGAGAACATAAAGAACAATGTAAACTACATGTTGGATTCCTACTAGTGACACTCGCTATACATTTACAATTAAATAGATATAATATGAGCAATAATGAACACAAAACACAGTCATGAGAATGTTCCAACAATTATATATTCACTTGCAGGGGCGGAACCAGCCTTTCATCTTAGGGGGGGCAAAATTTTAAGAGAAGAAGAACCCACCATATCAATCGTCTTAAAAATTAATTGATTAATCTTAAATTTCAATCATCTTAAAACAAATCCTAAAGGTAAAAAAAAAATCATAATCACATTTAATAAGACAACCTTAACACAAATTTTGTCCTTTGTCTCATTAAACAACAAGAATAAATTGTATATTTAATGCTACAGTGGCAAAGTTAATGAGATTCCAAGCATTTTGTATCAGAAAATTTAAATATAAACCATTTAAAATCTGAGAATGAAGAAAGGTGCTTCCTTTGTGGATCTTTCAGAAATGCCTTCCCAACTAAAAAAGAAATTACAAAATGTGCATGCTTTCTTCAGCTGATCCGACAAAATTTAAGGCATTTTTGCAATTACAGAAGAGAAATAAGCTTTACAAATAAGCTTTTTCAGGTATAATTTTTTTCTCATTCTCTCTACCCGTTGTTTTCAGCAAGTGAGGAAATGAAGATATTAGAGGAGAGAATGAAGAGAAAGGAGAGAAGAAGTTGTGGAGTGGGAGTACAACGGGCGGAGTCTCTGACATGATAGAAGAAGCGGGAGGAATTAGGTGAGAAAGATGGGCTAGGACAACTTTAATATGTTGTATGGGAAATTACTAAATAACCATAGCATTAAATGTATTTTACATTTTTTTAGGGGGGGCAATTGCCCCCCCTGGCTATGCCATGATTCCGCCCCTGTTCACTTGAATAACTAGCATGTCATGACCTTACATGTTTCAAATAGTTGCAGCCATGTGAATGAGTTTCAAATAAGAAGAAATGGTCAAAATGATTGTGTAACATGCATTTAGAAATATCCTAAGTGCACATATTAATTGCTAAAAAAAGAAGCTTCTACACGTCTCTGTTAGGTGAAATTATTATGTGAGGTTAGTAGACGTCGTCTAAAGACAAATCAGGACACACCATATCACCAATATGTTATGTATCGTCACTATGTACTGTTGTGTATTGAGTGACATGTCACATCCTGATTAGCCTTCAAACGATTCGGTGACCGCACGTAATAATATCTCCTCCGTTATGTGACATTAATATGCTCTGTGAACTAACAATGCACCTCGTGAATGAACTTTTTCAAAATACAAATCAAATGCATTTTAATAAATAAATAAATCCAATTTGATTCCAAACAACCCTAAGCATTTCAATAGTTTTAAGTTGACTATCTTTGATAATAATAAAAAAAAATTAAATTAAATTTTTAAAAAAAAAAAAGATACGTTTGGCATCATTTTCATTTTCTTAAAATAAAACAAAAGATCCGCATTTGGCATTATTTTCACCGCTAACCTATAATCTCGACCTCATATGATAATAAATCCTTATTAAATAATATGTATAAGAAAATATACAACGTATATGTACGTATGATTTTATTATAATATTACATATTGAACTGAAAAATTAAAACTAAAGATTTATAATTTTTTTCTGAAATATTTCTCCGCATCAATGAATTACACAGATAAATTCTCATCTTTCTATTTTTATGCATTAATTTTTGGTGTATTTTAAATGGTAAATTAATAATGAATTATTTCTCAATTATATCCGAACTTTGGAGGAGTTTCTATTCTCAACGTTTGCTAAATGCTGATCCAGCTTTAGAAATAATATCAACGTCTTCTTCCAACTTCCAAGAAAATAATGGATTGGAATTCCACAAAGAAAAAGCTGATTTCAGACAAAAGGATGGAATCATTGTTGGCGTCATTTTCTAGAAAACAAACCAAAAGTCTTCATGATCGTACTCCATTAAAAAAAATAGCTTTTTTTTCTCTCTACAAAAAGGTAACTTTGGATGGCCAAAAAGAGTTCAACCACACAGATCGAAGTCCTTCAAATGATGAGAGAACCATTCAAGTAAACCTAATGGCTTCTTCTTCCTTTAACCTTTATAAGTGCTAACAGTTGTCTTTGGCATTGCATCTTAAATCAGACTTTTGCGCCTTCATCTATATGGAGCTATTTCATATCAACTATGTTGTTTTCTTCCGGCTGCTACTTCTCTCATTTTGTCTTGTCTTTGAGTTTTTCTCGATTAACTGCAATGCTCTTGGGCAATGCCTCGAGTCAGAGAGCTCAGCGCTTCTCCAGCTGAAGCGAGGCCTTACTTCTGGTCACCTCGATATATGGAAGCTAAGCACGAATTGTTGCATCTGGGAGGGTGTGACATGTGATGAATCAACAGGAAGGGTCATAGGCCTTGACCTAAGTAATCGGTTCATTGCTGGTATGATTGATCCTAGCCTTTTTAATCTCACATCTTTACGCGCTCTCAATTTTTCCAACAACAAATTTCATGGAATCTCCATTCCGAATTATGGGTGGGACCGGCTTGCAAATCTTTCGAGCCTAGATCTTTCCTATGCCGAATTTGCTGGGAAGATTCCTGTTGGTATCTTTAGCTTGATGAAGATGACTTTCCTTGACCTCTCCTCTCCTTATGATGAATTTGGGGGGCTTTCGCTCGCTAGTAAACCAATATTTTTGCGAAACATGAGTAGCTTGAAGGAACTTCATCTTGAAAATGTAGACCTCTCGCCATACCAAAATGAATGGTGCGATGCTCTAGCCAATTTCACCCCTGCACTTGAGAAGTTAAGCATGATTGATTGCTCTCTCTCTGATGCTAGTTGCTTCTCTGTCTCCATGCTCCCCCATTTATATAGTATTGACCTTACAGGAAATAATTTGGACTTTAAAATTCTTTATTCATTTGTCAATTTGACTTCTTTAATTTCATTAGTAGTTGAAAAAAACCAATTCAAAGGTGTTTTTCCCAAGCAATTATTTCTACTAAAAAAATTACGGCATCTTTATGTCGGATTTAATCCAATGCTTTCTGGCTCTCTTCCAAAATTTTTAGAGGATAATAAGCTAATATCTTTATCTCTTCAAGATACTATTTTTTTTTGGAATTTACCTGATACGATAGGCAACCTCAAGTTTTTAAACTATTTGGTTCTCTCTAACTGTCAATTCTCTGGGAGAATACCACCTTCAATAAGGAATCTATCGCAACTAAATCGGTTGGATTTATCAGAAAATAATTTTAGTGGAGACTTAGAGTTTGAGTTTATCAAGGATCTCAAGAATCTTGTTGATTTGGACCTCTCAAAAAGTGGACTTTCTCTAAATTCATGGGATGCATGTAATGGATCTTTCTTATCTTCCTTTCCTAAGATATTATTTTTTAGAGCAGCTAGATGCAATCTAACTAAGATCCCTACAATCATAAATTACCCACTTAGGATGGATATATTGGACCTCTCAAATAATAGAATTCATGGGGAAATACCGAGCTGGTTTTGGAGAATTAATATAGCATTGAACTTATCTTGCAACATGTTTACACATGTTGCAGAGCCTCCTCTTAATCTTACTATGTATAATAATGATTTTATATATATTGATCTCCATTCCAACATGCTTGAAGGTCCAATTTCTCCTCTCCCATTAACTAATTATACATTATTAGATTTCTCAAACAATCATTTCACATCTTTTATCTCTTTCAACATCACCTCACACCAAAATTCTTTGAAGTACCTTTTTCTTGCAAATAATAGCTTGACTGGAGAAATCCCACCATTCATCTGCAATATGACCAACTTATTGGTACTTGATTTATCAAATAACATGTTAACAGGTTCTATTCCATCATGCTTATTGAAAGGAGTTGATCTACAAGTGCTAAAAATAAGAGGAAATCAGCTTCATGGAGCCATTCCCAATGAAATTAGTCCAAAATGTGAATTACAAATTATAGATCTCAGAGACAACCAATTAGATGACTTGATTCCTAGGTCTCTATCTAATTGTCAATCACTTGAGATTCTGGACCTAGGGAATAATAACTTAAAGGACTCATTTCCTTATTGGTTACGAAATATGTCATCTCTAAGGGTTCTTGTTTTAAGGTCTAATAAATTCCATGGGGAAGTTGGGCCTTTTGAAGGAAATCTTGAAAGAAATTATGCTTTTTCTATGTTACATGTCTTGGACATCTCATTCAATAATTTTAGTGGCAACTTATGTGCAGAGTGCTTCAATAATTTCAAGTCAATGATGATAGATAAAATAGACATAGTAAAAGATTTTACACTTGAATTTTTAAGTCAATACTATTATTTGGGTTTGGTCACCATTATGAACAAAGCGCAACAAATGACAATACAAAAGTTCTGGACGATTTTCAAGTCAATAGATTTTTCTAACAATTATTTTGAAGGAGAGATTCCTATAACCATTGGCCAACTTACTTCTCTTCAAGTGCTCAACATGTCACATAACTATTTAACAGGTAAAATTATTCCACAACTTCAGAATTTATCACACCTCGAGTCATTAGACCTCTCAATGAATAGCCTTTCAGGTAAAATCCCACAAGAGTTGGTTTTCTTAAATTTCTTGGCATATTTAAACCTCTCCTACAATAAGTTGGTAGGAAACATTCCAGTTGGAGGTCAATTCTTCAGTTTCTCAAACACTTCATTTGAAGGAAATAATGGATTATGCTTACTTCCATGCAACGCATCAGTTCCAAGAGTGAACAATATTACAATATCATTAAATTTACACAAACAAGCTCTAAAGAATAGAAGATATATGATTATAATGGGAATATTATTTGGTGTCGGATTTGGAGGTTCAATGGCAGTAGTTGTTGTGCTTGATGTCATGTGCTGTGATAATAGGAGACCGATTAATGAATAATTTGCATGAAAGCCTCTTTGTAAAAAATATTCTACTAATGAAGCAGAAAGCACTGTTGCAATGATTCTCAATATGTTTTTTTTTAAGTTGTCATATAAATATATATATATAATGAGAGAGAGAGAGAGAAAGAGAGAGAGAGAGAGAGAGAGAGATGTTGGAATTAATGTATTTTGTAAGTCAGATATTTGCAATTATAGGCTTCTATGTTTTCTCAATATGTTTTTTTTTTAAGTTGTCATATAAATATATATATAATGAGAGAGAGAGAGAGAGATCTGTTGGAATTAATGTATTTTGTAAGTCAGATATTTGCAATTATAGGCTTCTATGTTTGAAGCTTTTAATTTATACTTTTTCCTCTCTAACAAGCCAAGCTCCAATTGCATCTTATTTGTGTAATTTAATGACCTTGTAATTATTAAAATCTAAACTATAATATTTATAATATGCCCCAAATTTCACCCAAAAAAAATATTTATAATATATTTTATTTTCTTTTCTTCTTAATGGGTCAGCTCACATTTATATCGATATTGAGAGAATATATAGAATTTATAATTAGAATGACATCTGTCGACCTTTGCATTTATCTGTGCCTGAGTAATTAAAATGAGTTAAGATATAAAAGAAGATTAAATTAATTAAGCATTTCAACAGAAAAATATGAAGCTTCCATTCATAATTTTATTTTACATAGAGTTTTCACATTTTTATTTAACTATAAATTTTTAATTAATAACTTTCTTATGGCTACAATATTAAATTTACGTCTACAATTATATAATCAAATTTATTATATTATTGTAGCCATAAGAAAGTTATTAATTAAAAGATTGTTTGAGATAACATTTGAATTTAATTTTACTTTCTGTTCATAATATATTTTATTTAAATTTTGACATCAAAGAAAATATTTTTTATCCCTTAAAATTATATTTATAATTAATAATGTTGCAGCATCGAAGAAGCTCATAAGTGGGCCAATGCCAGTTGTTGACAAGGACTTTTTATTAGGTGCGTAGTGCGGACGGGGTGAGATCCGTCCGCACAGACACAGGGTACCAAGCTGTACCCAGTGGTACCGAGTGGTACCGAACGGTACCGAGCGCGGTTTTATACTAGTGTGCGGACGGTTCTCCCGTCCGCACTCCGTACCTAATAATTTCTCGTTGACAAGGCGATGACAATGACGGTGGTGGTAGTGATGAAAACGCCAGCGATAATTAGTATTTTAAAAATAATTTGATTTATTTTTAAAAATAAAAAATAAACTAAATAAAAATATATTTAAAATTATATTTAAAAAA